TAGTTTGACTGGGACGGTAGGATTAGAAAAAGTATCTAATCTGTCTATTAGATAAAATAATAAATTTATTAAATATATATTATATTAATATATAACAATATAAAATTAACTTTATTTTTTAATAATTAAATAATAGTAAAAAATAAGATATCATTAATTTAGGCAAATAACTAAAATATATAAAAAATGTATATAAATAAGTATAATAGTATAATGATATTAAGATAAATAGACCTACAAGTCGAAATAATATTTACGTATAGTATAATGAACAACTATTGATGAAGTTAATCATAGTGATAACGAGTAAGGTACGCTAGGGATAACAGCCTAATATTGTGTGAGAGTTCATATCGTAAACAATGATTGGGACCTCGATAAAAAAAATAACGATGTCGAGGATAAATTGGGTGAATTGACAAGAAAATCTAAAATATATATTTATTTATATATAAAGATAACTTGCAGCGAAGTATTATCTATACATAATTAAAAAGGATAATAAACGTTCAACGACTAGTTAATGAGTAGTATAACAATAATTTAACCACGAGCGCCCAAATATTTATAATATTTTATATAAATATAAGACATAGTCTGAACAATAATGAAAATTATTGAAATTAAATAATAAACATATTTAATATAAACATAAAATTGGTCGGCTCAACCTATCCTACTGGATGCAAAAGATGGTAAGGGTACGACTGTTCGTCGTATAAAAGGTTACGTGAGCTGGGTTAATTCTTAGCCCATTAATTTAAATTAATTAATTTTAATTTAATATTATAAATATAATTAAATCTTTATTTATAATAATTGTAAAATATTAATAATTATTGGCTGAAAACGGTGAAGACTAAGTTTATTTATATAATAAATATGTTAATACCGTGGTAATTTAAAAATATTTTAATTAATAAAATAAATATTTTAGTAAATACCGTAACGACTCAAGTATATATTTATATATATTTGGACTATATATCTATATATTATATTTAAATAATTGAAATTATATAGTAAACGCCAACTCTTATTTAATATATTTAATAAATTTAAATTAATTTTCTTATATATTTAAAAATTCATTATATAATAAATAACATATAGAATAGAATAAAAGGTAATAAATAAAAAAAAATAAATATGAATAAAATAAAACTAAAATATATAATTGGATTATTTCAATCAATTGGAAATTTAAATATTTCAATAAATAAAAAGAATAATAAAATTTGATTATCCCTAAAATTTAATATATCTTTACAAAAAAAAGATGAAAAAACAATAATAGCAATTAAAGATTATTTTAATTGTGGATATTATTATATAAATAATAAAGGTATTTGTACATATAATGTAACAAATATAAATGATTTAATAAATATTATTATACTATTTTTTATAAAATATCTACTAAGAGGTAATAAATATAAATCTTTTATAATGTTTAAAGTAATAATAGATAAATTATATAATAAAGAACATTATATAAATAATAATATATTATTAAATTTAATTAATATTGCATATAATATGAACTTACTATCTAATAATTTATTAAGATATTTAACTGAATCAGAAAAATTATTAGTTTTATCTAAACCTATACTTTATAATGATTTAATAAATAAAGAATATACTAAATATTATAATAATAATCTCATAGATTTAGATTATATTATAGGTTTATTTGAAGGTAATGGTAATATAAATGTATATTTAACTAAAAATACTACAAATTCATTAAGAATAAAAATGTATTTTAATATATCACAAGATAAATCAATATTAGAAGAAATTCAACAATATTTTAATTGTGGTAATATTTATAATATAAATAATATTTATAGATATGATGTAAAAAGTATTATGGATATTAAAAATAAAATAATACTTAAATTAATTAATTATGATATAGAACTAAATATAAAATTATATAAATAAAATATATTAATAATATAATTAATTGAATAAATAAAATAATAATATTATAATAAATAAAAAAGATATTGAATATATAGTAGAAAATATTTATTATATATCAAATAATAAAAATATAATGAAAAAAGAAGAATATATAAGAGAAATAATGAATAAATATAAGAATATATGAAATAAATAAGATGAAGATATAGTCTAAATTAATATGAAAATATTAAAATAAATTGTAAGAACGTCGTAAGACAGTTCGGTTAATATCTGCCACTAATATCTGAAAAAGATAATCTCTCATTTAGTACGAAAGGATTATATGAGACATTGCCGCTGATGAATTTTTAATTAATGTTATATATATATAGTATTATCGAAAATTAGTTAAGCAGTGAAATATTTAATAAATACTTATAGCATATCAAGTATGAAGTAGTTTATCATATTCAGTTAAAAAACTTATTAGATGAATAAGTAATATAATTTCAATTAAGAATTAAATATTAATTTATTAAATTGAATGATTTTCTTATTTTATTATCTCTTATCTTATTATTTTTATTATATTACAAGCTGGTTTAGCTTAATTGGTAAAGCAATCGTTTTGTAATCGATAGTTAGTGATTCGAGTTCACTACTCAGCAATTAATTAATTTACTTGGACATATGACTGAGTGGTTTAAGGTGAAACACTTGAGTTGTTTTATTCCATATTTTGGAATCACAAGTTCGAATCTTGTTATGTTCGTTTATATTTATATAAGAAAGTCATTATTATTAATATTAATTAATTTTTAAAGAATATCTATACTTTGTAATTAATAATTTATTTTTATATTAATTATATAATATATTTAATAAATATATTAAAGGGAAAATATAATAATATAATGCTTATTTAAATATAATACTAACTAATAGTAGTGTAACGGTTAACATATTAAATTTAGGATTTAAAGACTATGGGTTCAATTCCCATCTATTAGATAAAAAATATATATAAATATATATATATATATATGCACTTATAGTTTAATGGTAAAACATTAGTCTACGGAATTAATAATATAAGTTCAACTCTTATTAAGTGTGTATATAAATAAATAAAAGAGTATAGTATAACGGTTATTATCTGCGACTTCAAATCGTGTGATAGGGGTTCGATTCCTCTTGCTCTTGTATTTTTTATTATATTAGTATAATATATTTATATATTTGATCTTATAGTTAAATGGTATAACGTTAGAGCTTCATTCTAAAAGTGTAGGTTCAATTCCTACTAAGATTAAAAATACCATATATACTTTTCATATAAAAAATATATTATAATATTAATAATTAAATTTTTTTATTAAGTTAATATTTTATTAAAGTATATAATATTTTAAATGCAATATAGTGTAATTGGCTAACATATAAGATTCATGATCTTATGCTACAAGTTCAAATCTTGTTATTGCACATATAAATAAAATAAATAAATAAATATAAAGAATGATAGCTTAATGGTAAAGCCCACCACTCATAATGGTTTGATCAGAGTTCAATTCTCTGTCATTCTATTTAATTATTTTAATAGTAAATATAAATCAATCTGGTGAAATTGGTAGACACGTTATAGTTAAGTTATAATGCTTTTATGCATGAAGGTTCAAATCCTTCGATTGATATATCTAAATAGATTGTAGACTAATTTGGCAAGTCGATTTAAATTTGAGTTAAAAAGATGTAAGTTCGAACCTTACCAATCTAATTTACTATACTTAATTTATAAATAAATGAGTGTATAGTTTAACGGTTAAAACACCTACCTTTTAAGTAGGCCATGTGAGTTCGATTCTCACTATGCTCAATAATAAAATATATAAGTATATAAATAAATAAACGATTATAGGTTAATGGTAGACCATCAATCTTCCAAATTGAGTGTCAGAGTTCAAATCTCTGTAGTCGTATAAAAAAATATTTAAATGGATTATAATATAATATAATAATATTATAGACAATAATAAAAAGTAAAAAAAAAGAAAAAGATGTTAAATTTATGATTTAATTCAATAATAAGTAATGATGTACTTACACTATGAGGTATATATTTACAAGATTCAGCATCTAATGTAGCGGAAGGTATATTAGAAGTTCATGATACAATTATGTTTTATGTTATAATTATATTCTGTTTAGTAACTTATTTATTAACAAGTATAATTATATCATTTAAAAATAATAAATTTAGTTATAAATATTTAGTTCATGGTTCATTATTAGAATTTATATGAACATTATTTCTAATATTTGTATTATTATTAATTGCATTCCTATCATTTATATTATTATATTTAAGTGATGATGTAATAGATCTAGCTATGACAATTAAATGTATAGGATATCAATGATATTGATCTTATGAATACTCAGATTTTATAAATGATAGTGGTGAAACAATAAGTTTCGATTCATATATGATACTAGATGATATGTTAGAATTTGGACAAATACGTTATTTAGATGTAGATAATAGAGTAGTAGTACTTGTAGATACACATATAAGATTTGTAGTAACAGGTGGTGATGTAATACATAACTTTGCTGTTCTAGCTTTAGGTATTAAAATAGATGGTACTCTAGGTAGATTAGTACAAGTAAGTACTATTATACAACGTGAAGGTTTATTCTACGGACAATGTTCAGAATTATGTGGTGTAGGTCATAGTGAAATGCTTATAGCAATAGAAGCAGTATCATTACTATCATTCTTAGAGTGATTAAATGAGCAATAATTAACTATTAATTATAATTAATTTTATTTTACTTTATATATATTAGTAATATATATATTATATGTCTGTGTAGTTTAATTGGTTAAAACATTATGCTGTTAACATAAGTAAAAAGGTTCGAATCCTTTCATGGACTAGATATTAAAGAAAAAATAAATTAATAAAATATATCCATATATTAATAATAAATGGAGAGAAAAAATAAAAAAAATGATAATATTAAGTAGTCAAATAATAAATTGATTAAATAATAATATAATAATAATAATATCAATATTATTAATAATAATGAGTATAATAGTATTAACAAGAATAAATCTAATGATAAGTTTATTTAATTTAATATTATTTTATATATTATTAGGATTATTATTATATATGTTAAATTTAAATGTATTAGGTTTATTATATATATTAATATATGTAGGTGCTATATCAGTATTATTTATATTTATATTATCTTTAATAAATATAAAAAATTCCGAATTATATCATCAAAATTATTCACTAGATTTAATTTTAATTTTATATAGTATTACTATGTTTACATTTATATATTTAAATATATATGATATAGATATAAATACTAATATATTATTAATTAATAATATTTTAGATTATAATAATATATCTAATGTTATAGAATTTAAAATAATAGGTGAATTATTATATACTGAATATTCAATATTATTCTTAATATTAGGTTTAATCTTATTATTAAGTATAATAGCAGGTATTTTATTAATATTTAGAACTAATAAAAAATATTAATTTATTTATATAAATATATATATATACTACAATTAATTTTTATATTAATAATGCCCTTTTACATAATTATATATTTTTACTTATTAATTAAAAATAATTAAATATAAATAATATATCTTTAATATATATTAATTAAGATATATATTGAAAATATTAAAAATAAAAATAAATGATGTCAATTATATTAAATACAGTAGAAGTATTATTATTTTTAGTATGTGTATTATTTACAGTAGCTTATTTAACAGTAGCAGAAAGAAAAACAATGGGTTATATGCAAAGACGTTTAGGTCTAAATGCAGTAGGTTTAATATAATATACCCTTATCTTATTAAATTAATTATATTATTTTATTAATAAATAATATAATATATATTATAATTTTATTTTTATAAATATAAATTAATATGTAAAATAATAATAATACATACCACATTAATAAAATAAGTAAATACTTAAATCCCCCTGTAAAGGGGGAGGGGAAGATCTTTTTATTTTTGTTTCCTTTTTTATTAATATTATATTCTAATATATTCTTTTATATAATTAATATTTTTAATAATATTATATATTATCTAATATCTAATATATTCTTTTAATATAATAATAAAGATTTATATAAATTAATATTAATATATATAATGTAAATAATGAATATAAATAAATATTTTAAGATCATACCCCCCTAATATTTAGGTTAAATTTATAGATACTTAATTCCCCCCTGTAAAGGGGGGGGAGGGGAGAACTTTAAAAATTATTTCACTTTTTTATTAATATTTAATTTTATTATATAAAAAATATATAAATTATAGATTTAATAAGATATAAAATAAGAAGAAAATTAAGAAATTTCTTTTAGCTTAAGTGAAAGTGAACCTTTTGCTATAAATCATCAAATTGCGGGAAAGTCTTAAAGCTTAATTAACTAAATAAATATAGTAATATATTTATGGCACAGGTAATGACTCGTGGTATAGTAATATCAATTAAGATGTACGAAAGGAAATAGATAATCCGCAGCCAAGTACTTATTTATTTTATTTTATTTTATTTAAGTATGCAGTTCATCGACTAAAAGGTGATTGGTATTTATTTATTTATTTATTTATTTATTTAAATACTTAAGATATAGTCAAGCCTTACTTGAAAAAGTACAGAATAATTAATAAAAAAAATTATTTATTTGTTAAATGGATAAAATAGAATTTTATTTAGGGAGAACTCTTCTAACTTTATCTAAGTTAATTAATGAATATTAATTAATATGATTAAAAGAAGATTAACTGTACTATGGATTATTACAAGCATTTGCTGATGCAGTAAAATTATTAGTTAAAGAAATATTAATACTAAAAGAAGCTAATGCATTTATATTATTAATAAGTCTAGTAATAACATTAATAACAGCATTATTAGGATGATTAGTGATACTATTTGGTCTATCATTAACATTAGGTG